ACAAATACAGTTCAGGGTGGTAAGTGAAAGAGCATGGCATAGGATCCCATGGCATAGGGGCTTGGGGTCTCAGTTCACAACTCAGAGAGGTCTTGGTCTTCCCCGACTCCTTTTATCAAAGATAATTCACATGCTGTTGGTACAGGTCAGCTGAGTGAAAGGTTCAGAACTCCTAGGTGGAAGATTGGTCGGAAAGGTGTGGCTCAGCAAAATCTCTTTATTTTTAGTCAAGATAACTTGAAGCAATAATCGGATTTTACCCACACTGGCCTCTGAGCCCTCTGATGATAAGATTTCTCTTCTTCACTGTTGAAGAATTTATAAGGTCTGAGCAGAGATGGGAGATTCCTCCTATTTTTGAAGAAGCGAATAAAAAAGGTTTGTTCACAGCTAAGCACCATGGGCACTAGAGAATATGAGTCACCACTTCTCTTGTTTATACACATCACCACTTCCCCTTATTCTTGACAGGTGGGTTTCCTCAAGTCTCTAACGGAGAAATTACCAAGTCACCAGTATGCAGATAGTCCCATGACATAAGCAAACTATAAAGATAAAGAATATCCTGCACTATATTCCATTCCCATGTTAAAGTGTACATAAGCTATCTGGTGACATTAGGACCCCATGAGCCTTGCTATACCATGTTTTCCTAGCAAACATTCACTAAGTCCTATGTTCATGGATACAAGTGAACATGCCTGAAAGAAAGAAGCATTGTAACAGTCACAATAAAACAAAACAAAAATCCTATCTGCTTTTTAAAGATTGTCCAAGAATCTTTGGGACGTGCACAACTTTTAACTTGTTTACCAATTCATACGATAACAGTAACGTACATAATTGAGTACTTGCTTTGTGCCAGGTACTGTTCCATTTTACAAGAGCTTTAGGCAGTGAAGTTCACTTAGATGAATCATTTTGGAAACCCCAGTGCAGGGAATGGACTAAGGGAGGCAAAACTGGAGGCCAAGGAGCCAGTTAGAAAGCTTTTGTAGAACTCTGAGAGATTGGTAGTTTGAGTCAGGGTAGATGGAAAACAGTGGATGGAACCAAAGATAATTCACAAGCTGTTGGTACAGGTGATGTGAGAAATTGGACATGGGGATTATGGGAGAGGGAAGAGTTGAGGATAAGAGCTTGTGTTTAGTTGGGGCAACAGGGAAGTTCCATCTGCAGACAGGAAGTTCCCTGCAACAAGGAAGTTCTCTGCACACAGAGAACAGGGAGGGAGAATAGATCTAAGGAGGAAAGACTATAATTTTAGCAAGTTGACTTTAAGGTGGGACATCCAACGTGTGAGTCTGAGATTTAGGAGGGAGATTCTGGATAGAGAAAAAAATGCGGAAGTTGTCAGCACATGGATGGTAATTTGTGATTTTGAGAGTGTGCCAGATAGAAGGCATCCTAGGGCAGAACCCTGAGGAAAACCAATATTTAAGAGATGGGCAGAGGTGGAGGAGCCTGAAAAAGAAACTGGGTCCTGGGCAGAGAGGTGGAGGGAAAGCCCAGAGAATACATAGTCAGGAACTGGCGAGTCAGAGTGTGCTTTTAGAAGAAGGGTGTAGCCAACAGGGTCAAATGTTAGGGGGAGCCTGGGTAACAGAAGGACTAGGGAGTGTCCGTTGACTTCAGTGACATGGAAGTTATGAGTGACCAGCTGAGCTCAATTTAGGTGGAGCCATAGTTGACTTAAGAGGTGAGCAATTGCCAAGCATAGGTATTTGGCTCTAAAGGGGAGAACGATGTCAATTAGCTGTGGGGACATATGAGCTGAGGATAATTATATATCTACAACCATTTCCACAGCAGTTTTTCCTCTTTTAGGTTTAAGAGACTAGAGTCTATCTAACTGCTGAAGGGAAGGAGTAAGTAGAGGGGGAGAAGCTGAGCACACGGGAGAGAGGAGAAGGAAAGAAAAGGGGATGTTTGGAAGAGATGTGATCCGTGTCTGGAGGATGAAGATAGCTGCCTTGACAAGGGAAGGGACACGTCTTCTCCTGAGCCAGATAGGAAGAAGCGAAGAGGAGGAGGACGGTGAGTTTCTAGAAGTGGCTTCCTGCTTGGTGTTTCTGCTTTTTCAGTGAAGTAGAAGGTAAGCCGCTGACAGTGGGGGCAGAGTTGGTGGGGTAAAAAGTTTAAGGAGAGAACTGAAGTCTTCAGTTAGATTCTGGGGAGGGTAAGGAAAGAAGCCGGTGAAGGAAGCTGCAGAAGAATGCTGGGAGGATTGAGGACTGGAGTGGCTGGAGACCGTGGATTTAGATCCATAGCAAATCTTTCGGCAGCGAGACTTTTCTCTGTAGTAATCGGCTGCCGGGGCG